CTCTCGTAGAGTCCTGGAGGGGTGGAGCTCAGGCTTACTTGGTAGAATGCTGGAGGGGCGGAGCTCTGGCTCACCTCCGTAGAGTGCTGGAGGGGTGGAGCTCTGGCTCTTCTTCCACTGTTCTCAGGGTGTAGTGTACAAGACTTTTGTATAGAGGGGGGTCTATGCAGCGTCTTGTCGTCTCCTTTAGGAGCTGCTCTGTGAGGGTGATGATCTGTGTGCCTTTCTGTACCAGCTCTTCTTTTAATCTCATCAAATCATCTTTTAGAGTCTTGTTTTCTCTTTGAAATGAATTCATATCTCTTTCAGTTTGAATTTATCCTGAGTCTCTTTCTTGTGCTGAGTTAGTTCAGTTTTCAGTTGTTGAATAATGTCGTTTTCAGCAAGTTTGTTTTCTTTCATTTCCATTGTCTTCACCTCTAGTAGGGAGAGGCAGTCCTGAATGCGCTTGACTGTTGCAGGTGTTCTGGGTGAGACTGTGTTGGTACCGGTTGGGTCTGTTAGAATGGACCTGGAGCCTGTGTGTGGGGGTGAGGCAGACATCACATCACTACGTTCTGCTGTAGGGAGTGGAGTGGGTTTATTCTTTCCCACAAGTGACTTCAGTCTTTGAAAGTCCTGTTCAAATTTTTCAAGATTTGTTTTCGACGCTTGAATCATGATTGTTCCAGTTTTGTTATGTTGAATTTAGGTGAGCCGTCAATGTAGAGCTGCCTCATCGTTTTATTACCACACATTTTAAAGTGCTTATTGTCAGTAAGGAGAGTTGAATGCCAAACATCTGGGTGTTCTGTGTAAAAGAGTAGGTCAGCTTGAGTTTCTCTTCTATTTATCATGGTGAAATCTGCTTTCAGTGTCTCTGGGTGTTCTCTTAATATTTCTGCCTTGTATTTCTTCTTTTTGCTCTCACTGTTGGCGTCTTCCGGGTATCTGATAGCTAAGGAGCTGAGGCTCTGTCCACTGAGCTGCCCCAGCAGTGTGTCCAGTGTATCCAGTGCATCCATTTCTAACTGACAAAGATTCTATCCGACTCACAAAGGTTCTATCTGAGCTAAATGAGGACTAGCAGTGCTGAAAATGTTTAAAACTGTTTAAAAAGCTTCTCTAAAAGAGTTACAAAGGAAGCTTACCCCTTTATCAGTCAGTCTGCTCTGGTGTTTTCCTGTGTTTGTGTTGTGTCTCCTAGATTTGGTCCAGGTCTTTTCCTATTCTGCCCCTGTTGGTCAGTTTTCTGTTGTTTTTGTTTAAACGTGTCTGAGATGCAGCCCAGGTTGATAGATGGATCTTATTAGATCAGTTTCTTCCTTTTCTGCTGGTCTGTAGATCCTCAAAGTTAGTCTAAATATTCCTGGTATGTTTAGGTAGAGTTTAAACTATTGTTTGCTGCTGTACATCCAAAAAATCAACAAAAACCTTTAAAGTTTTAGGAGCTCATATTCTTTGCTGCTGTTACTGCTGCTGGAAACTTAGAACTTTCTCTCTCTGTCTGTCTGTATTTCTCTCTCTCTTTCTCTCTCTCCCCGTTATTTCACAGCGCTTTTAAGCTATGACCTCAGGAGCGCGCGGTTAGTGGGTGGGGCTGCGCGGTTAGTGGGCGGGGCTGTGCGCATTGCGGCGCATCGAGACACATTCTGCGCTCGCGCGAACATCTGGCGCTCAGTTTGGAGCTGAAAGGGTTTTAATGTCCTGAACAGCTTCAGAAACCCGTCTAAAGGGCTGTTTGAGTCAGAGTCTCAGTTCTCCTCACTTTGGCCTTATTACTGTTTAGATCAGCTCCCAAACTGTGGGACCCCCAGAGAGGGGGGCGACAAATGACGTAGGGGGACGTAAAAAGTCTGACGTTCGGCGTTTCCACTTCATTTAGTCTTCATTTCATTCCATCACGCAGTTACACAGAAACTCCTCATTCAGACAAACTCAAACAGCTCTGCAGCTCAGCTCTCCGCCCACCAGCTGACCCAGAGACCCTCACTGACTCTGAGCGGGTCTCAGCGCTGAGTCTGATCTAAAGCCAGTGTCCAGTTTCTGGACAGCAGCTCCGGCGTGTGGACTCGAGTGATGAGTGCTGGGATGTTGATCATCAGAAGATGACAGAGCTGCTCTAACAGGGATTCCGCTCTCTCTGCGCTCCTCTCTGTGGAAAAGGCTGCTGTGCTGGAGAAGAAGGCGTTTCTCTGCGGCTCCTCTGGAGAAACGAACTCACAGCTCCTTCATCAGTGGATCCTCTGCTGCTGGAGTGAATGGAGTGAGGTGGTGAACTAAGGTGCTGTTCAGGTCTGTGTGACCCTTGTTGGTCGTGTTAGTGGGTCAGTCTCACTCTAACAGACGCGGTTCGGTCCGCAGTTGTAGTGAGAGGTCAGTGTGCCTCTGCTGTGATGAGCGCTTAGCCGTCAGCACTGTGGTTGTGTGTTGGAGCTGCTGGAGCAGCAGGGCTGTTAGAACTGAACGAGAGCTGTAAAGTTGGGTTTATGGTGGACTTTCACTGGATATTCGACTCTCTTCGGTTTCTCATTAAATAAACGTGTAAAATGATCAGATCTACATTTTATCGCTCAAACTACAAACAGAAATGTTTCAAAAGTTCCTTCAGTGAAATTTACTGGACATAAAAGCTCCTAAGAGAAAAACACTGAGGCGCTACTGTTTAAGGGAGCGTCTAAAAAGTGCTCCGCCTGAACAGCTGTGAAGGTTTACACTGTGACTCGGTAATTTTATAAGGCTGAATGTCTCACATAGGCATCATGGCACTGTGTGCATGTGTGTGTATAAGGAGCGAGGGGGTCGCAGCAGGTGGTCTGATGTCTGAAGGGGTCGGGACTGTAAAAAGTTTGGGAACCATTATTTTAGATATTCTTATTTTGGAGCCGCAGCCAGATTTCATTAAACAAAGACAGCAACAGTTTACAGGATAAATAACATTAACTACTGAACTGTGTTTATTTATTTATTTATTTATTTATTTTCGTTTTCTGTCACTTACTTGTTTCTTAATTTATTAATTTTCGGTTTTATTTATTTATTTATTTACTTATTTATTTATTTTGTCCCACGTTTATTTATTTATTTTTACTTTTCAGCTGCTTATTTTTTTATTTATATATTTATTTTCATTTATTCACTGTTTTTTTGTCTCATGATTATTTATTTATAATTTTTTCTGCTATTTATTTATTTCTTAGTTTATTTTATTGTAGTTTATTTATTTATTTACTTATTGTCCCATGTCCCAAATGTATATGTTTATTTTTTACTTTTCTGCTATTTATTATTTATTTATTTATTTATGTATTCATTCATTCATTCATTCATTCATTTATTTACTATTTTATGTGTCATGATTATTTATTTATTTCTTAGTTTATTCATTTTCGGTTTGATTTATTTATTTTCTTATTTATTGTTTTTTATTTATTTTATTTTCATGTATTTCTTTTCATTTATTCATGATTATTTATTTAATTATTTTTCTTTTTCTGCTACTTATTTATGTTTTTATTTATTTATGTACTTATTTATCTATTTTTTTATTAGTTTGTTTACTTATTCGTTTATTTATTTTATTTTCGAATATGAGTTCATTCATTTATGTCCTAATTTCCTGCCCTGTATCCTAATTGTATTTAATTTTACTTTTCTGGAATTTATTTATTTATTTAAATTTATATGTTTCTACTCATTTATTTATTTACATTTTTATTTATTTTATTGATTTATTTTTTGTTTTACTTTTCTGATGCTCAATTTTTATGTATTCATTCCTTCATTTATTTGTTTTCCTTTTGCTTTTTTGTTTGTTTGTTTACATATTTATTTATTTATTTATTCATTCATTCATTCATTCATTCATTCTGAAGTCTTGCAGGAAGTGAACTCCACCATTCATTCTCCACTCTTACAGTCTTCAACAAAACTCAGGACAAACATCTACTATACTAGAAGGAGCTGTAGAGGGTTTATAACACTGTTATAAGCTGTTGTAGAGCTTATTCCATTTCCACTCTGTAAAGGTGATGACAGTGTGAAGTTTCTCTGTTCAGGGTTGTTTTATTTTAATCACATGTTCAGTGATGTGAAAAGGTTATCGAGCTGTTTCTGTGATGGGAAACAACAAATTCATCCATTCAGTGATTCAGAAAGTCAACAGTGCAAATAATAAAACAGCAGAAACTCACAGTGTTATAAACACATCTCCACACAGTCCATCATGTGTTCACTGTAATCAGATGAGTAATAACAGCTCAGTCCTCCGGCTGAAAAGCTGATATTAGAGCTCTTATTCTCTTCAGTCGTCATCAATCAGTTTATCAGCTGATTTTACATTTACAGTCATTTGACAGATGATTTGATCTGAAGCAGCTCAAGTGAAGCAGTTACAGTCCAAACTTACAGCTGTGACGAGAAGCAGCTGTGATACAGGAGCTGCATGAGTTTGTCTGAGGAGCAGAGCAGACGGCTGTAGAGGGGAAAGAGGAACTTTCAGTGTGAGACTAAAAGCTCCATGATCCACTAAGAGCAGATCAACAAGAGCACATTTCAGCAGAACCCAGTGAGAAGAGACTCAGTCCAAACCATGATGGTGCAGAATGAGACGGTGAGCAGGGAGACAGATCATGAGTGGAACAGTTCAAATGACTCAGTGTCTCAGAAGAGCTCAGTTTAAACAGCTTCTCTAAAGGTGGAGATCCTGCAGGACGAGTTCAGGTCGGTAACTTGTTCCACCAATTAGGACTTTGAGCTGCTGTGATGATGAGCTCCAGATGCCCTTCCTGGTCAGACTGTAGTGGACGGCGCCCTGTTTACATCTTCAGCTACAGTAAATGTGTCCTGCTGAGCTGATCAGCTGGATTATCTGGATTAGGGTGGTGAAGGTCTCTGTGGGAGTGACGTTTCTGGGAGTTCACACTTCTGACACTAGAGGGCGACATGCACTGTGTGATGAGTCAGGAGACACAGGTCAGGTGGTTTATATCCACCAATCAGAGACACAGGAAGAGCTGAAGTGAAGAAGACAAACCGAAAGTAAGTTGACAAACCGAAAGTATGTAACCGAAACATGAAGATCCGTTAGAGAAACAGAGAAGATCACAGATGCGGAGGAGTTCAGACGGTAGGCTTTAAGATTAGTACTAAACTGGTCGTGTTGGAGATTATCTGGTAGTTTAGAGTAGAATAGATGTGTGTTTTTATTCATGTGTGCTTTAGTGAACTTAGTGGCGCAGTAAATGTGTAAGGCGGTCAACAAGATGGCGGACACTAAAACATTACGTAGTGTTCTTTGATCTTCTCCGACACAGACCTAACTGTTAAAGTATTTTTTAATGTATACGGATTCGTTTGGTGTTAGTGTATGACGACAGTTCACTTTTCTTTTAAAATAAGCAGTGAATAAGCGTCGTTTTCCTCTGAGGATTTTCTTCAAACTGGTTATCACCGTATGATGGCGCACAGAGCGCTGCGGTTCTAGTTAGAGTGCGTAACAGCGAGGCCGCCGATAAGCCCCCAAAGCTCATTTTACACTTAGTTTCCGATTCAGACTTATATCGTCTGTAACTCCTCAGTGCTGAAAGGTACATCTACAAACCCTGGTGCGTTTTGTTAGTCCTAATTTGTGAATTCAGGTGAAAGTTTTCACAAATCAGGTAATAACCAATATTGCCTGATTATTATTCATGTTTTTCAGCTTTTTTCTGTGCAAAAGCTTTTTGATCAATGACTAACTAAGCATTTTCATCTCCTTACATGTATATTACTGTGCCAGTGTTTGGGTGAATGATAGAAATATCCAATTTTATATGCATGGTAATGGAAATTGATCTGTATAAAACAATAAAATAGCACAGAATCTGTTCATGTAATATGTAAGTTAATTGCCAAGGTTACCGATAATGTTTGTATGTGGAATTAAACTCCAAGGTCAGTTTTATTATTTTATTTCAAAGGAAACAGAGCTCAATCATACCCAGCTCCATTTGTGAATTTGTTCACAAATCGAGCTCTGCATAATCAAACACATTTTCATTGATTTTCATGTCATTTGTATTAAAAATCACCTGCCAAAGTAAAAAAAAACCGCTCTGAACGTTATCACCGGGTTTACTACCTCTTCCCACGTGACAAAGAAATACATGTAAAATGTATTTATCAAATATATTCAATATGTATGAAAATGGATTTTTTGCTAAATGTTCTTTAGTGTTTGGAATACATTTTTGAAGGAAACAATATCTTTGAAACATTTGTCACATATTAGGAAATACATGATCATCTATTTCTTTATTGCATGGAAGTATGCGGAGGCCTTGAAACGATTACCCAATAACCAGTGACACTGCTTTTGAAGATAAACATGTTCCAAGCTCTTTATAAAGGTGTCTGTAGCTGCTTCGCTCTGTAGCACAAACAATATAAGTGTGAATGGTCAGTGCCTGTGAGCTGTAGCAGTGAGAATATGCCATGGATCATGTCACTCAGAGGTAGTATGTGTGAAACAGGTGTAATAGTCTGCCACATGGTATTAAAAATAGTAGATTTTCTGGTGAATGAATTCAAGAAACCTGGATCTGTCTATAGTTGCTGAAAATCTTATTTTAATAATATTTTTAATAATATATTAAATATTTTAACTTTTTACTTACTTCTGAAGCCCATATCTCTCAGCCAACTGCATTTTTCACCTCCATGTTCTTAAATAGAAGTAAAGTTGTTTTCATTTAAAAATGATCAGGAGAGTTCAGCTCCATCAAAATGTTACTGTAGTACATGGAACTCGTAAATGTAACTAGTAAGTCCTCAGCTCTGCTTATCATTGTATTTTTAAATGTACTCTCTCCCCAACACCACATTTCTCCTGATGACCTCTAATCAGTAGACAGTGGCACCTGATGAGTGCCATTCTAATGAATTATGCTAATGATTAAGAGTGAAACATGTGTGATGTCTAACAGTAGAGGATGTGATGGTGCTGCAGTTTTAACTTCTGCAGTATTATGAATTTATTTCTTTATCAGGTTTTCACTGACACTGTAGTGACATCAAGTTCATTATAACCTGTAATTCTGTATCCTGTTTAAACTTTACATTTGAAACGCTTCACAGAGATCAGAGAGCTCTTGTGAAGAGTAAAAACCTCATGATGGAGCCTCATCACTCCACCGGTGGAGAAGAAACCTCTGACTCAAAGTAAGTTACATTCTATTAGTATTCATTTTTGTTTTTCGAGTTTTAGTAATGTTTAATCACAACAGTTCAAACCGTATAGCTTGACAGTTATGATGTATTTGAGTAGTCAAATTGAAATGTTAAATGATGTAGTAGTTAAGAAAAAGGATAAATGCTAAACTTCAGTGGTGCCTAGTGAGCTGTGCAACACTGTATGTTATAGAGTTTTAGAGTTATAGAGTATATTGTAGTAAATTGTCAGTCTGATGCAATTGTCTTACATTAATTTTTATATTTGTATGATCATCTGATGACACCTAATGTGTCTGGTTCTACTGAGACAGTGACATGATTGTAAGTTGTGAAGTGATTGATGTGAGAAAAAAAGAAGGAAAAAAAAAGGAATTTTTCACTCTCAGCAATATGAAGAAAATGTATGTGTGTGTGTGTGTCTATCTATCGATCTATCTATTTATCTATCTATCTATATATATATATATATATATATATATATATATATATATATATATATATATATATATATATATATATATATGCTGGGACATTGGTTTACTTGCATTACCATCTGATGTACCTTGTGTGTCTGGTTCTACTGATTTGATGACGTGGAGGGGTGGTATGAAGCAACCTGTGATGAAAAGGAGATTTGGAATGGAATTTACCTACCTGGTTATCAATGAGCTGGGAGAATTGGAAAACAGTCAACAAGACCATAAAGAGTGTAGTACAGCAACATCTCTGTTGAATAACATAAAAGGGTCCATTTAAAAGGGAAACAGAGGGGAGATGAAGCATCTGCAGAGGGAAATTAAGCAGAAGAAGCAGAGTGAGCAGGGACCCCTATAGAAAGGTGGAGGATAAGAAGAAGCATAACAGCGTATGGAGTGGTATGAAAGAGATCATCACCCGCTTTGAAAACTCAAGTTGACTCAGAGTAAAGATTTTTGTAAGGATATTTGTGACAGAGGAAAAGGACGTAGTAGTAATGAATTGTAAGTTCTAGAATGAAACGGTTCCATGTCATTAGGATTATACCGTAAAATGGTGAACATATTTATTTAGAGAGCTGGACAATTGATCAGGACTATTTGACAGCATGTCTGGTCTACTTTATGCTCAAATAAGTGTTGACACTATATCTGTAATTTATCATTACTTCTGTTGACAAGATGACTATTTATTTAATCACACTGTTCTTCATAGCACTTTTAATCCAGGTTGTCTATTTAATTTATTAAAATATATTATATGTGCTCCAAGAAGTGTTCTTTATTGAACTTACCGGCAGAAAAGTGCACATACAGCACACCCAACTCGAGGGGAGCGCTCACCTCTAGTTACCGGCTTCACCATGATGGTGACACCACCCCCCTCACCCCCACACACAAAAAAAACCCACACATTAGCCAACACTCTGACACATAATAACACTTAAAACACTTACACATAACTATATCTAATAGACAACGACATTAAACAACTCCACAAGTCTCTTTATTGGAGGGCACGCATTACAATGAGCCTTTGAGTGTGCCTAGCCACACCTCCACAGTTTTGGTGCCAGTGCCAGCCAGTAGCAGAAGGCTACACAGCTCTCCCTTCAAATGTCAGCTGGTCTCCAGCTACCTACCAGCTTTAGCCAAGTCATTGGGCACACGCAGTGCCTCGGCAAGAACAAACGCTGCAGGGCACTCACTATTGGCAGCAAACACCCCCTGGCCCTCTCCCGGGGCCACGCCCCCACTACCATGGCTCCTCTGGCATATTACAGAGCTCCCCACAGCGCGCCTGTCCCAGCCCTTCAATTCTCAGTGCCACCCACCATGCCAAACGCTTCTCATGTGCTCTGGGGCTCCGTTTCTGCCACTTATGATCATCCTGAGCTGGATGATGGCCTCCTTCCAGCTGTGGGATGGGCCCCTCTTGGTGCATGCGCACACTATAGTCCACGCTACACTTGGCCCACTGCCCACAGCCGCCACTGGACCGCCTCAGCTGGCATCTGTCTTCCTACCGTCTCAGGCTAGCCGTGACGTCCTCTCTCTCACAGCGCTGACTCATGAACTGCTCCGCTGCTCACCGTGGCACCCTCCACACTGAAGCTTTCGATGGTTTTACTTTTGCCAACCTCTCTTTCACCAACCCCACCACTGTGCTTCACTGAGTTGACTCCACTGCCGAGCCTCCTTGCGCCGGCTCCATTGTAGGGCCTTCCCATGCCTACTCTGGCCTCGAGTCTTGGGGGGGGGGTTGTGTAGCCCCACACCCTGATACATAATAACAAACAAAACACACATAACTATAACTACACTAGCTATAATAAAATTAAACAACATATTGATATTGAATTTTAGTGATTCAGTGTAACTAATGATCTCCAAAGATAAGTTTTTTCCACCCATCTATATTAAGTGTTATTTGGTGTATTGTCTTCTAATATCTGTATTAAAGTCTTTTTCCTGACTCCACATCACGTATATATAAAAGTGAGTTTATGTGTGGCCTGGTTTGGACCTACATTACCATCCTAAAAATGGTCCCACTCCAGCCCTGGTAACCAGTGATTTCCAAAGATGTGTATTAGCAGTTGTCTGATGAGGCTGTCTTCTAATACCCATATTAAACTCTTTCTTTTATCATCACATCACATTTCCAGACTGCAGACATTCAGAGCAGAACCTCCAGAGCCCAGCTGTGTGTCTATGAAAAGCAACAATTCAATGCTTGCGCCTCTTGTTTTCAGTGATGAAAGAACTGCTACTGACCTGAGGTGAGACACTAACACAACTTTGAGTTTCAGCAGCACGTTTCTCATGAAGCATCGTTTTGGATTTACTTGCGCTTGGACCGCATCTTTACTTCCCACTGCCACTGAAAGTCATTGTTTACTAGCACCTGATGTAACAAGTGTGTGGTAGCACTGTTTTGATGACTTGGCTGTAGATCTGGCATGAAGCAAATTGTGATAAAAAGGAGTGCTCCCTGGCTAGTATGATGAGCTAGGAGAACTGGTGAAGATTCACAGAGAGCATAGTAACTTTAATACAGTGGCTCCCCAGCGACCCAAAACCATTTGGAATAAACTGAAGAGGTGAGTCACTAACCAACATGGTAATGTGTTTCAGCAGAACATTTTTCAGAGAAGCACCCTTTTGCTTCATCTTGCATTTGGACCACATCTCCCCTTCTCACTGTCACTGAGAAGGTCTTTATTCCTCTGTATGATCACCTGATGTACCTTGTGTGTGTGGCTCTACTGAGGAGACTGCATGACTCTAAGTCTTGTGTTAAATGTGAGAAAAAGGAGATTTAAATTCTGCCTACCTTCAGTCATAATGAGATACGTGGGTCCCTGACTATTACGCTCCTCAAGCTGGAAGTACTGATGAAGCAATTATCAGAGAGTATAGACAGTGTTATTGTTTATAGTGATCTGAAAGCTCTTTTGAATAAGCAAAGAGAATTATGCTGAAAATTAAGGGTATTTAGCAGAGGGAGAGCAGGAAATTTTACAGAAGAAAGGAATAGGAGAAGAGGAACAACATGAGGGACATATGGAGTGGTATGAAAAAGATCATCACCAGGTTCAGAGAGATGAGTGGGTATGTACAATGAATATAATACTAATAAAAATAATGTGAAAATGTCTTATAACAGGAAATGGATGCAAGAGATGGGAAAATATAGGACTTTAGATTGGAGGGAGCAGCAGCCTCAGACATAGCCCCTCCACACAATTTCAATTATTCCATAACTCAATTTATTGTTTCTATCATGAAATTGTAAGTAAGTAAGTAAGTAAAGTTTATTTATATAGCGCTTTTTACAACAGGTGTTGTCACAAAGCAGCTTTACAAGGAAATGAGCATTACAAAAAGAAGTCCGGGTCCGAGCCCCCATGAGCAAGCCAGTGGCGACAGTGGCAAGGAAAAACTCCCTAAGAGAAACAGGAAGAAACCTTGAGAGGAACCAGGACTCAGAAGGGGAACCCATCCTCCTCTGGTCGACACCGGATAGTAAACATTGTTAGTATAAAGTATTATAGTACAAAAAACAGGGTAAAACGTAAAGGAAACAATTAATTTGAATAGTTCAGTTCATGCAGCAGAAGCAGCAGCATCAGTGGGGTCAGGTTGTGGGGGTGAGGTTGGCACGGTGAGCAGTGGCACCCGATCAAGGCAGCAGAGGCAGCAGCATCAGCAGCAGGATGGGCAGCTGTTCAACTCGGCAAAAGAAAGAGAGGAAAAACACAGTCAATGGGTGATTGATTAATTTGAATTAGTTTGAATGATTGATTGGTTCAAGTGAATAATTTTGAATAGTTCATGCAGCAACAGCAGTAGTATCAGTGGGGTCAGGTTGTGAGGGTGAGGTTTGCACGGCGTTGAACAGCAGGAGGCTCAATGTTGGTAACCCGGTCCAGAGGGCTGGCGAGCAGTGGCACCCGATCGAGGCAGAAAAGGCAGCAGCATCAGAACGCACAGGATGGGCGGCTGTTCAACTCGGCGAAGAAAAGAAAGGAAAACACACAGAGAGGAAAACACACAGAGTTAGTTCTGTAATGGGTGACCGATCACAAATTACAGTGTTAGCAGAGACTCTGGCAGGTATAGAACTAACAGGGAAAACTAATTACCAAAGGCTTGAATATACAAGTAGGTTTTTAGCCTAGACTTAAAGACTGAGGCTGTGTCTGAGTCCCGAACATTAACAGGAAGACTATTCCAAAGCTGGGGGGCTTTGTATGAGAAAGCTCTCCCCCCTGACGTAACTTTATTAATTCTGGGTACTAATAGTAAGCCAGCACCTTGTGATCTAAGTAGGCGGGATGGTTCATAGTGAGAGAGAAGTTCACTCAGGTACAGCGGGGCGAGTCCGTTTAGTGCTTTATAGGTCAGCAAGAGAATTTTATAATCAATCCGAAATTTTACTGGCAACCAGTGTAAGGCTGATAAAACTGGGCTGATATGGTCAAACTTTCTGGTTCTAGTAAGAACTCTGGCTGCAGCGTTCTGGACTAGCTGAAGCTTGTTAATGCTTTTGCTGGGACATCCAGCCAGCAGGGCATTACAGTAATCTAGCCTTGAAGTAATAAATGCATGAACTAACTTTTCTGCATCCTGTAGAGATAATGCATTTCTCAATTTAGCAATATTGCGAAGATGCAGGAAGGCTGTTCTAGTAATATTAGTTATATGTGTGTCGAAGGACAGATCAGGGTCTATAATGACACCAAGGTTTTTTACATATGAGCTTGACGCAACTGAGAAATTGATAAGTTTAAGTGTTAAATTAGACAGTTTGTTTCTAGCTGCTTTTGGACCAAGAAGCAGAACCTCTGTTTTATCTGAGTTTAGAAGGAGAAAGTTACTCGACATCCAGTCCTTTATGTCTTGTATACAAATTGTAAATTGTGGTGTTTTTATCTAGAAACAATGATACCTAATGATCTGCAAAGGTCTATACTTTTTCTTTCCATCCATTTTAGCAGTTGTATAATGAGGCTGTCTTCTAATAACCATTTTCTGATTTTTCTGGATCTGCACATCATATTTCCAGACTCCAGACATTCAGAGCAGATCTTTCAGTAGAGCAACTCAGTATGTTACTCAGTACATACAGTTAAACCCAATACTATTCATAGTCATGCCAGATTTTAATTTGACCTATAGGTTTCTTCGGCTGAAAATTACATAAACAAGTGACAAAGAACAGTAAGACATTGTGCTAGAAATGTTAATGATGAGTTTGATGAGTTTGAACTTTTTTTTTGACATTTTTACTAAAAATGACATTAACAATTCAAATGTTCCTCGTAATTTGTACCATGTTCTAGAGAATGTTAATCAACAATAAATTGAGAACAGCTGATGCAGTAATATTCTAGTCAGTTACTAGTCAATTGCAAGTCATGGCTAAAACCAAAGAGCTTAGTGAGGATCTCTGGTTGCGCATTGTGGCTGCTCACAAGACAAGGAAAGGGTATAAAGCCATTTTCAAGTGTTTTAAAGTACCAGTGGCCATAGTGCAAGGCATAATCAAGTACAAGGAGTTCACACTGAAAAATCTCAAAGGGCGTGGTGGGAAGCCAGAAGTGACCATTCCACTAGCAAGAATGGTAGTCGGAGAGGCCAAAAAGAATCCAAGAATCACCACACGGATTAATCCGAGCAATTTTGGTACCAACATCTCAAGGCAGATACTCCACAAAACTGGTCTCCATTGAAGCTGACTAAGGAGGACTCCACTTCTCCAAGACAGGCACAAGAAAGCTCACCTAAGCTTTACAAAAGCTCAAAAGAAATGGTTAATAGCAAACAATATAGACGTTTTGGAATGGCCCAGCCAGAGTCCAGACTGGAAATCCCATTGAGAATCTGATGAGGGAGCTGAAGACCAGAGTGATGGCAGGGAAGCCTTCCAACGTCAAAGACCTGGAGACTGTCACAAAAAATTAGTGGTCCAGAATCCCAGTGGAGATATGCAAAATGCTTGATAGCATTTATAAGAACCATTTGATTGTTGTAGTGGCAAATAAAGGCATTGCCATTGATTGTTGGAAAAGGGTATGAAAAATTTTGAACATGGCATTTTTCACACAAATATAGAAATAAACATAGAAATAGTATTTTTTTATTTTTATCTCTAGCACAATGTCTTACAGTCTTTTGTCACTTTGTCACTCTCAGAAGAAACCTATTCGTCAAATAAAACTTCACTATGAATCAAATTTTTGTATAGGTATGAATAATTTTGGACTTAATTTTAAGTAGTCTGATACCTTTGTACTTTTGCTCCAGTTGATTTTTGTAAAGTTACTTCTGTTTGAGAAGTCATTATTTCAAAGAGATAACAGTAATTTTACTTTAATATGTGATTAGATTACACATGTCTGTTGCTAGTAGCAAACAGAGCCTTACTCTCTCAGAAGAAGCTGTACTTTTCAGAGTACAAATGCTGTCACCAGGGTGAAAACGTCAAGGATACCGCTTCAGTTCCTTTAGTTATAGAACACAATTGTTTCCTACTCCACTGCAGTTTTTAATAACATTCCAATAGAATCTATGAATTGCTATTTTAACATGGTGAAAGAAGAAATGGATTCATTGAGTAGCAACAGCAACAGTGTTATCCCGTTTGTTTTATCCAGTTCGACATAAAGACACAGAGAGTAGATAACTATTCATTTTACTAAAATTGTTGTCAACAATACAAGAGGTCTCCCACAGCTCTTCAATAGTACTGTTTATTTGAGTGTGGTGGTCTCAGGGCTCTGTTATGCTGATAACTGTGGCATCATCTGGCACTGCAGCTGTGTTTTACTGCATATCTTCTGCATAACTGTGAAAACTGCTTCTTAATAATTTGACCCAGTGGCAAAAGAAAGCATGTATGAAAAAATAAAAAATGGGTCAAGTACAGAGCCTTGTGGTACTCCACGGAGAATACCATAATTATCTGAGACATGTTCACCTATGCAAACAAGTAAAATCTTCCAGTCAAATTTGTATAAAACAGTTCTCAAATGAAGCAGTTAAACCTAGAGGCCAGGTACACAAAAATTGTGCATTTATTTTTTGAATAATTTACCAGTTTCAATTCTGTTACACTGGTATGATTTGGTGATGGCAAATTTAACATATACATCCTGGTAAATTCCTTTTAAGGTCTGAATCTACTAATAATTTAAAGGATACGCATAATTGGCATTGGTATGCCTGGTTTTGAGTGTGAAAAATATATTATTGACTTGAGCACGAGTGTGATGGCACAGTGAAAATCATACATTTAAAGTCAGTTTGTGTTAGTCTTTGATCAATTGATGATAGTATTTTGAATTGATGATAGATTGCAAGTTGTATCGTGTATATGTCAGAAAATGTGTTGTCCATGGCTTTAAGATAAATAAATCATATTTTTCTCACAATCTGTGTTTTAATATATATTCTAAATCAGACCTAATATGCTGTTAGAACATTGTGTAGCACTGCGAGTCAGCATTTTTATGTAGGTTACAATAAAAAATCTGCTGTATTTCCTGACTTAACATCACCAAGAACTTCTTATTTTTTCTGGAAAGGGCTGTTTCACTGGCATGAAAAATGACCAACAACATACTGTTATTTTGGCATGATGAGGGACAGGTGGTTGGAAAAACATGTTTAAAAGCTCCACAAACCAACACACAACCAATTGGTATGTGTGTCTGCAGACATGCAAATGAGTCTCATTTTAAAGCTACTAAAATGCTTCAAAGAATGCTCTTAAACTACTTTTAAAGATGTGATGCTGTGAACATCACAAACTTTGTTTCAGTCCACTGACACAGTCCTGCTATGAAAGTCCCAATCATGCAGAGCCAACTGTAAGTCTGGCTGATGGCTGATACAACCTCCTGTGCAGAAGGGCCTTCACACGGATGTGAGGATAGCAATCCCAGTGGAACTGACAGAATTTTGATAGTTGTGGCCAGTTTAATATGCAAAAGGTATCTGATGCTCTATTTTAATGTAGGTGGAGCAACTGAGGCTTAGACAGGCTTAGACTTTCAGTCCGTATTTGTGGGTCCTTTCTCCTATGTGCAAGGAAAATACCTTTGGTGCCTGTAGAGCAGTGTAATTGGATGATATACTGTCCATGTTCTTACACTCATTCTCACTCTTCCATTCTCTTTCACATTTTCTAGCTGTGTGAGGGACGCATCACTTCAGGATCAGTCCAGGTGTGGAGTGTGTGAGCAGATTCAGACAGATCCAGTCTCTATCAACTGTGGACACACTTTCTGTAGACAGTGCATCAACAGCTATTGGAACCAGTCTGCTCAGTCAGGAGGCTTTGCCTGTCCCCACTGCAGAAAGAGGTCTAAGACACGTCCTGTTCTATATCAACACATTAAAGAGTCCAAAAAGCAGGAACCAGTGAGTGATGTTCTGCGCAGAGTCTTAGAGAGACACAAAACCAGCATGAAGAACAGGTATGAGAGCTTATTTGAGGGATTCAAAGCACAAGAGAATAAAACCCTCCTGAACAGGATTTATACACCGCTCTACATCATAGAGGGAGAGAGTGAAGGAGTGAATGAAGAACATGAAGTTTTACAGATTGAAAAAACACTCTGGGACCAACACTGGCAAGATACACCAATTAACTGCTTAGATATTTTTAAACCTATAGAGTGCACTGTAGGAGAAATGGAAGAAGACAGCATCAGAACTGTGATGGCTGAAGATGTCAGACATAAAGAAAGAGAAGAAGATAAAATTCCACAAGTGCAGAAACTCAGGGCTGTGCTGACTAAAGGCATTGCTGGCATTGGAAAAACAGTCTCTGTGCAGAAGTTCATTCTGGACTGGGCTGAAGGAAAAGCCAATCAGGATGTAGATTTGATGTTTGTGCTTCCATTCCGAGAGCTGAACTTGATTAAAGATCACCAGTACAGTCTTCTTAGACTTCTGTGTGACTTCCATCCTGAGCTCAGAGATCTGGAGAAAAAGGTATACAATGAGTGCAAGATAGTGTTTATATTTGATGGCCTGGATGAAAACAGAATTCCACTGAACTTCTTACAATGTGAGAACATGTCAGACATAACCAAGGTGTCATCAGTGCATGTGTTGTTGACAAACCTCATCAAAGGAGAGCTGCTTCCCTCTGCTCACATCTGGATAACCTCTCGACCAGCAGCAGCCAATCAGATCCCCTCTCAGTACATCAATCGTGTGACAGAAATTCAGGGATTTGATGCCCCACAGAAAGAGGAGTATTTCAGAAAGAGAATCAGTGACCAAGACCAAGCCGACTTTATCATCTCACACATTAAGAAAACAAGGAGCCTTCACATCATGTGCCACATTCCAGTCTTTTGTTGGATCTCAGCCACTGTTCTTCAGTACATAATGAAACAGGGTAATACAGAAATCCCTAAAACTCTGACTGCAATGTATTCACGCTTCCTGAACACTCAGACACTCATGAGGAATGAGAAGTATGAGGAAAATAGTGAGATAAATCCAAATAATCTCTTGGAATCCAGCAGAAATTTGCTTCTGAAACTGGCAGAACTGGCTTTCAAACAGCTGATGAAGGGTAATGTGATATTCTATGAAGAAGACCTGAGAGAATGTGGTATTGATGTATGTGAGGCCTCAGTGTACTCTGGCATTTGCACTGAGATTTTTAGAGAAGAATCAGTGATTTACCAAAGGAAGGTCTACTGCTTTGTTCATCTGAGCTTTCAGGAGTTCCTGGCTGCTCTCTATGTGTTTCACTGCTATGTGAGGAAAAACATGGAGGAACTGCAGTTTTTAAAGCCACGGAACACAAAGTGGTCTGACAGTGTTTCTTTGGAAGAGCTGCTAAAGGAAGCTGTGCATAAAGCCTTAAAGAGTGAGAATGGACACCTGGATCTATTTCTCCGTTTTCTGCTGGGCATCTCACTGGAGTCTAATCAACAGCTCTTAAAAGACTTTTTGACTCAAACAGTGAGCAGCTCAGAGAGCATCAAGAAAACAGTTCAGTACATCAAACGCATAATACAAACAGAAGATCTTTCTTCTGACCGATCTATTAACCTGTTCCTCTGTCTCACTGAAATGAATGACCAGTCTTTATCCAGAAAAATTCATGAGTATCTAAAATCAGAGGATTGCTCCAAAAAAAAAATCTCCTCTGGAGAGTGTTTGGCTCTAGCTTACATGCTTGTGACTTCAGAGGAGGTGCTGGATGAGCTGAACCTCAAGAATTACAGCACATCTGAGAGGGGATATTTGAGATTGATCCCAGCTGTGAGCAACTGCAGAAAGGCTGTGTAAGTGTTAAGTTTAATTTAATGTCTTTTAATATTAGAATATTTGTGGCTGAGAGGCAGAATTACCAAATATCTCTTAAGTTTATGGGGCTAGGGGATGGCTAAAAATTGTCTATGCAAGTTAAAAGATTGTAAACTGGCAACACACTGTATATATTAGTGATGTTCAGTAGGTGTGATTTGACGCACATATTTTCAGCTTCTTTGTGATTTTCAGTTATAAGATTAGGAATCAGAGTTTTGATATTTTAAGCATGGTTATGTGCTTATCATAACCCAGCCTCTTTCCCCTCCCACTTTACTTTGCTCGCAGAGGTCTGGTTTGATCAACAGCAGTGGCCACAAAAGATGGCAAATGACATACAATCATTTTGAGACAACCTTTTTATGTTCTTTTTTTTGCTACTGTTTTGATATCATTACACCCCTGTTTGATGGACATAATTATTTGTATTTGTATAGAAGCTAGAAGTGCACAGGACAAACTGAAAATGGATGAGATGTTGGACTAATTGGAAGCCATATAAATGACCATTTTATATGTCCTTAATAATTACATTATTATAGCATTATTATAATATTAATAATAACAACAATATCATACTTACTCCTACAACCACAGGATTTTACTCGTACATACAGATTTAAACTGTTTATTCATCCTGCAAATCACAAATGCCTAAATGTAAGGAATTATGGAAACATTAAATAGTTAAATAATATGCGCCACTATAAAACAGCAGCTTATGAAGCAGGTGAAGCAGACATGATGAATGCATGAGTTTTGTTTATTAAGTCCAATTTAAGAAGGAGTTAATGTGCAGCAGAAAAAAAGCACAAGGATGTGTTGACAATTAAAGGAATAGTTAACATGCAAAACATGAATGGAAAACAAAAATACTGTCTAATCTATCTCTGGGCTCTTCTTTCTACTCTGCGTCCAGAGTCACTTACTCCTCTGCACTTTGTGTGTTTTTTCTGCTCTGGCTGGCTGTAATGTCCCCCTTGCCCCATGCCTGCATGTGAGAGTAAGACCAAAGAAAGTGTTGGGGATGAAGGTCCATCTGAAAAAAAAAGTGTGCAGATAGTATTGAAAATATTCATACATAACAAATATTCAGATTGAGTCCATTATTTATGCACTTCTGAATAATGTATACAATGGAAACACCCCTAATATCTGAAAGTGCTATTTTCTACATAAATGTTAGAATTCCTGATTCATGTGAGCTTGAATTCCTCATTCTCTATTTTAACTATAACATGTACTGTATGTATTTGCCTTGTAGACTAGCTGGCTGCAAACTCACCCTGAACTCCTATGAAACTCTCTGTTCTGCTCTGAAATCAACAAACTCACCCTTGAAACAGCTGGACCTCAGTCACACTGACCTGCAGGACTCAGGGTTGGCACTGCTGTCTGTTGGATTGAAGAGTTCAAATTGTAAACTGGAGATATTCAAGTGAGCTTTCTGTAAATTAATTCCTGAATGGGCTTCTGGAGCTGTAGCCCTGAATATTTTTTTTAACCAGCTCTGAAAATGTAAGGTTTCATTCAAGAGCACATTCACCCATTTCTCAAACTTTGGAGCTATTTCAGATGTAGCTATAGACAATCACCTTAGAAGAGAGAGAGAGAGAGAGAGAGAGAGAGAGAGAGAGAGAGAGAAAGAAAGCGAGTGAGTGCAAGAGAGAAAATGCGTGTGTGCATGAACTGTCTGTAGAAAAAAGCAAATATGCTACATTCGAAAAAAAGCCCAACTCAAGCCTGATTTTGTGGGTAAAAAAATCTGAGATCGCTGCCCCGAAACTTGATACATACTTGGGCTCCAAAGGGCTCGGGTTAGGTAGACATCTAAAATGTTAACCAAGACACTAATAAAATCAACCAGATAAAATGGTTTTAGCAGGCTTTTTATATTTAAATTATTGTAGTGTGGTTTTATGAAGAATTTTACTGATTGACCATTTAGTATTGTAAAGTATCTTTAAAATATGTAAAATCCCTAGATAAAAAGGTTTCTCTGTGTAAAAGATACGGTCCACAACAATTTATAATATCCATGTGCATTCACTAATTGTCCTTCATCAATGCAAAACAGTTTGTCTGCAAGAGTCTCTGTAAAAGATATAATGGGTGGTTCTCACCGCTTTGGTGCTCCGAGTCCAGTATTTTGGCTCCACCAGAGAAGTCGAGATGTGCCCTCAACAAGTCCTAAGAAAGTCCTTTTAGAGTGAACTTGGGTCTTTAAGTGCTTGATGTAGTTGATCGGTGTAGCTCCAGACCTGTAGCTTCATGTTTAGATTTCCTTTCAGTTGGATCTTTTGAGCCCTGAGCGTTAAGTTGGTGTCTCCCAGCTTCTCAGTCCATCCATAAGACACGAAAATAAAGATGAAATAAAGCAAAAGAAAAAGTAGTAATAGAAGTCCTTTTACAAATAGCATCAAAAGCTGTGTAACATTCTTTTACACATAAACATCATTAAAGCATAACAAAGTACTTCAGACTCGATGGGAGTAAACAGTGCACTTCGAAACTCTTTGGAGCAAACGCCTAAATATAAGTCATAATTACACCTATATTTTTTTTCCTTAATCAGTAAATCAGTCAAAGCTGCCATTTAAAATCTATATTTTAATGAGAGGCTACAGTGGCAGTGTCATAGCAACAGCCCACAAGCAGCTGGGCTTTAGGCTGGAGCTATGGAAGGATCAAAGCATCACACTAGGAAAATGTGTTAATGGAATGAAAACAATAATGGCGTCAGTAATTTATCATGTTAATGCAGTAAGATGTTAACTTGGACAGTACTATGTGAGGTGTCTGGAAGGATCAAACACGAGCAGAATAGGCTGTTGGTTTAATTGTTTAAAAAAGGGGCAAACTAGTAACAAAATAACAAAAAGGTCAGAACAAGAACAAGGCAAAATAGAGTCAAAAGGCATAAGTCAGAAGTTGTAAACAAGAAAGCCCAGCAAAATCACAAACCAGGAAAACAAACGGCTCAGTAATGTACAGCAGGCTGACACAATACTTCACAATGGGAGTGTGAACACAGACAGGTTATATGGTGTGAGATACAGGTGGTGGAAATCAGTAATCAGGGGAGGCAGTGAGTGGATAGGTGAATGGTACTGAGACTGGAGTCAGGTGACCTCCAGGAGAACGCTGGGAGTTGGAATTCGCAACAGATTGAGGAGCAGTGGTTTCAGTGGAGTCGGAGAGAAGCGTGACATACTAATTTGTTTATTAGTTTAGCTTTGTTTTATTTGCAATCTGACATTGTATTTTATTTTACTGCTTTAAAGGATTAATGTTGAGGAACTTAGTAGTGTGGAGAAGAACATAAAAAAGATACAGGCCTGAAATACAGGCTTAATCTTGTTAAGAATTAAACTTCTGATGAACTCTGGAAGGTCACAGGCATGGGGAGAGATGTTGATGACTAAACTTTTGTGTGAGTGTGTGTGCATATAGAAGTGATCTTAGAGTCTGTTAGAGTCTCATTGTGTTGATAACTTTCCTAAAATCTGCTACTGTGTTGCTGTGTGAATTTAATTCTCAGTACAGAGCTAACTAAATCTGTCATCATGGATTCAGTCAAAGCAGTAGATACAGCATGTAAACAAACAGAATTATCAAACAATTACACAAGAAAGCCGATTTTACCAAACTATTTACCAAACATGCTGCTTATTTACATTATTCGTCTTTTTTTCATTATTAGTATAAATATCAGTATATATTATGATAGAACATTTCTGGGTGGTAAACTTTGGGCAACCACCAGACACTGAGGGCAGGTTAAGCACTTTGCACATAACTGAATTCAGAACCATTAGCCAACTGTGTTTTGCATACAGAGGAATTAGACCTCCGCATTTAACCCATCTGTGAATGTGTGAAACACCCACATACATGCACACTAGTGAACACACACACAAGGGGGCAGTGAGCACACTTGCCCAGAGCCGTGGGCAGCCCTATCCACAGTGCCTGGGGAGCAGTTGGGGGTTAGGTGCCTTGCTCAAGGGCACTTCTGTCATGTACTGTCAGCTGAGGGGATCGAACCGGCGAAAAGGCTGGTTCCCTAACCTCCAGCCCACAACTGCCTCTATGCTCAAATTACGATTGTTTTTTGGCCACAGCACTACACAGCATTTTATACGTTTTTATACAGTTTCCTGCTTTAACATCATCAGCAGTCATTAATGCAGTCATTAATTAATGCCATGCATAATGGTGATCCAGCAAAATTAGGCTTGCCAGTCTGATTTTTTTTTCACTTGTTTACCAAGCATCACCACGGAGAGTGAGATGAGAGAGACATAGCAAACAAAAATTAAAGCATTCATGCTACTGTAAACCACACCCTCAATGCTGTAATTCTGGATCCTGAAACTAGAGTAGCTCTGCCCCTGGGTACTTCAGGATCAGGAATGGGAACAACTGTGATCATATTTTGGCCACAGCACTGCACAGTATTTTATGTGTTTTTATACAGTTTTCTGCCTAAACGTCATCAGCAGTCATTAATGAGTTCACTTTAGAACAGGTAAACAGTCTAGCTGTCCAGTATTGTAGCTCTTCAAGATTTGAGGATTTGGCGTCAGTTGCTGAAAGCATGATAAGAAAACATTAACCAAACTGAGAAGACACTAGAATTAGGGGAGATGAAAAAGTAAATTAACTAACAAAGTAACAAATTATATAGGATTAGTGACCTGTTCTACCTTCTTATGTGAAAACATAGAAAATGAAGAGGAAAGCATGAGTTAAACAACTATAGTTTGTAGTGCTGCTTTATAAGCAAATTTGAACCACTTTGTGAGAAAAGGAAACACGCTGCTGAATTTATTTATTTATTTATTGACTTTATTTATCCTCCTGCTACTTGGAACCATCTTAGTAAGCTACACATACGCAAGACAATTTGTGTCTGTGTTGTCTACCATCATAATATTGCTTTTATAAGTTATGTATTCACTCTTTGCAGACTATGTTTGTGTAATCTTGGGGAAAAATCTTGTGAAATTCTGGGATCAGTACTACAACTGGTAAACTCCTCCCTGAAAGAGCTGGACCTCACTAACAATGACCTTCAGGATTCAGGAACAGGGCTGCTCTCAGCTGGACTGAAGAGTCCACACTGTAAACTGGAGATACTCATGTGAGATTTCTGTAAATTTATTCTTTATATGCAAGTTCTCCATCAAAATAACCATAAAATACAAGATATTCATTTTTTCCCGGGCACGCATTTGGCAAAGCAGCTGTGCCCATGGTTTAACACCAGACCTGCACACATATGACCACACACATCAACTAAATCGTGTATTAATGCACCAATTCATAAAAGTTTTGTGCTGTTCGTGGATCCTTTGTAACCATGTTTCCAACATGTTTTGATGTTTGCTGACAATTATAACCAATCTTAACAAAACAAAGTGCATGGCAAACAATATTTCCTTTTTTTACTGTTTACCTGATTTTTTATACTTACGTAAAATTTCCTTTTCATTGCATTTATTTTTTTCAGTTTTATTTGGTTTAGTGACATTCAACTACTAGTGTTTTTTCTATTGAATTTGCATCAGTTATTTTCATCATGATATTTTTAGGGCTGTACAGCCTTTTGAGCTGTTTCAGTTGTAATGACATTTAAATATATATATATATATATATATATATATATATATATATATAATGTGTATGTATATGTGTGTGTGTGTCTGTGTGTCTGTCACATCCACATGCAGAAGGACTGTGATTTTACAACTTATTTTCACACTTGTGCTATGACCAAATATATAAAATAGAGCACACAGAGTCATAGGGATTCCCAACAACTGTGCAAAACCAGGCAGAATCACATAAACTTACTTAAAGTACTTAAAGCTTTTATCTTTGAGAAGCTTCTGTGTAATTTTCTGTTAAATAGATGTGTTGTTTTTTTTTTTCCAGACACTAAAAATGAATAACTTGTACTTAATGACCATTTTGACTGGATATTAAAATTAGGGTGGTCTCTGAATTTTGAACGGAGCTGCATCTGTATCTCTTTTAGACCTCAAAGGGTGAGTCTTATATCTTTGTGTGTCTTTAGTTTCTTTCTTTGCATCTTGTCCTCACGTACTCAGAGGGTGAGCAAGAGATGCAAGGAAAGTAAATGAAGACACACAAAGATGAAATGTGTGAACAGAGTAATGAACACCAGACACAGATATATGTCATGTCTTACTCAATCATCATCTTCAGGCGATTCCATTTTTTAAAGTTATTTATGTTCTATTCAACTTAAACAGTCATGGTCGTATCATAGAAGATGTATAGACTGATGACTTGCATAGCTGTGACAAGCTTTCATAGATGTACCAATACAGGACAAAACATTATTAGCCAATTAGAAGCTAAGCCTAACAGTGACTGGCTGGACATATTTTATCTTTTTGACTGTAATTTAGTGATACATTGTACTATCCTAAAGTACTATTCTGATTCAACACAAACACAACTCTTCAGCAGTGCCACTTACTGAACACAAATATTGAATAGTAAAGATGGAAGAATTATGCAAACCATAGTAGCACAATGGAAATTATTTTTTCTTATACTTTTACTGAATAATCAGCTAAGTCATTGGTCTTAATATCAACAGTGGACAATGTTTACACTTTAGCTTTATTACAGCTTTCATTTTATTAGGGAGACTTGTTTTCAGTTTTTCAAAGAAAATTGCAGTATTTTTTTTACAGCTCTAAAGTTCAGTTGCATATTCTGCTTCTTATAATCCATGCAATCCCAAACACATTCACTAATGTTGAGATCTGAGCTCAGTCAATTGTTCTGAAAACATTAGGAGCTTCTATATTTGATAAATACATCTTGATGGTGTGCTTGGTGTTATCTTGCAGTAGAATGAATTTCTTCCTAATCAGAAGGTTTTTTTTTTTACATTTACATTTTTCAGAGGGTATTGCATGATAGAATAAAATTTAAATGTACTTCAGCATTTATGATGCCTTCATTCAAAATCAAATCACCAACTCCACATTTTACATTCCCAAACTTGCACTGATCCTCCACCATGCTTGACTGATGGTTGTGGACATGGTTTGAAGAGCTTGCATTCAGCAGTGTATTACTGCCTTCTGATATTTCAGATGTCCAGTTTTAAGGATTCTAATTCTGTCTGTATTTTTTAATAATGCTTTGAACTCCCATTTTGGAAACTCTAAATCTCCCCAGATATATCTCCTTTAGTCATTTTAGATGACCATGAGAGAGAAATTTGCAAGGCAGCTTTGATATGTTTGGGTGGTTACTTGTATAAATATTTCTTTGATGGGTAACAATAAAAACATTGGATTTTTTTTGTAAACATATTTATATGTTTGTATGTGTGTGTATGTATTACATCACTGTTGTTTCGTTCCTATCATCATCTGTCCCAGTGGCTCCAACCCTCTTGAAATTCTTAAAAACCACTAACAACATACAACAACAACAAATTAGTTTTATGAAGACTTCCAAATATAAATTAATAAAAAAAGGCTATCTTTTGTCATCAGCTATACATTCTAACCTACCACAATAACAGTTTTTTTTTTATTATTATTATTTTTGGGAAAGTGTGTTGTGAATTTTGTTATTTTGTCTGTTCGATATCAACATGTTTATGTGCAATACACAGAATTTAGTGTTTTTTGGTTTTGTAAAATATAAAATGTGCCACTACTTTTGCATTTCAGCAAATACGCAGTAGTTGTGCATTAAAATATGCAGAAGTGTGTTTGCTTTAGAGGATGTTTGCTTACTTTCACTTAGAAAATCAGCAAAGTGTGTAATTTGACCAGGGACACGCAAACTTTTGCACACAACTTTAAATGCCACATCTCTCACTTTGTCTCCATTTTTTCTCTCTTCTCTGCAGATTATCTGGTTGTATGATTACAGAGGAAGGCTGTTCTTCTCTGGCTTCAGCTCTGAGTTCAAACCCCTCACAGCTGAAAGAACTGGATCTGACCTACAACCACCCAGGAGATACAGGAGTGAAGCTACTCTCTGCTAGACTGGAGGATCCATACTGCAGACTGGACACACTCAGGTACAGACAAATTTTTGTGTGTTTTTATGTGTGTGTTTGTGAATGTGTGTTGTTATTGTTATTATTATTATTATTAATAATAATAATAATAATAATAATAATATTATTTGGAACAACATTGTAAGATAGGAAGGATATGCAGTGGGTTGTGATAATAATGACAATAATAAAAGCCCCAACCACCCAAGTCAGCTCTTTTTCCTGAATACTTACCACCAGACACATGGACAGTTTCTCTCCTCGAGCATTATGCATGTTGAATGGAGCTTCATCTAGCTCCAGCAGTACTTGCATATTCTAAGAAACGATTTGCATTGTTTCATTCTTTGACACAAGACTTATTTGCTCTGCACTGTGTAACATAGCCAGTATATATAGGATGTTGTCTTATTTGTGCACATTTAATTGTTAGAGGTGTAATAATACAATGTGATTTACCTGATAAAATGGCCACAATTGTGGATATTAGGTAGCTGGTCCTAAGAAATTGGCAAATAACTTTATATCCTGCTTCCTGCTTTTTGTTTTCTGACTGAAGTACCAGAATCCTTCCTGTCAATGTGCATAAATGTGTGTACAAGTAAGTGTGAGTATTTCAATGTAACTGTTTTGATTGTGCGGGTTTAAACATGGACGTCTTAAAATATTTTCTATACTGTAATATCAGAACTGTAGCGTTTTAGTAAGAGTAAATGGGAGTAACTGTCCTGTGTTTAATGCAAATATTGTAAACTGGATGCAGTATTAGAAGGTATATACTGGATAATTTACTGCAGTTTTTAATACTAAAGAAATTCCATCCATTTTACTTCATTTACTACACAAATAAAATAAATGCACTACTGCAGTACTAAAATTTACAGTAGTATTGTACTGCGTTCTGAACTGCTGTTTTTAATATTCCAGTAACACTACTTTTGTACTGTGTCAATTTTACTTTGTTTGAATTGCATTATTTAAACTGGAATAATACTACATAATGTACTGCAGATTTTAGCACTCCAGTATTACTGCAGTTGTGCTCTGTCCATTTTAATTAATTGATATTGCAGTACTAAATTGAATAAAGCAAAAATGCCGTTTGAAGAAATGCAGTACAAGTATACACATACACACACACACATCATCTAAACCGCTTATCCTACTGGGTCGCAGTGGGGTGCTGGAGCCTATCCCAGCTGTCATCGGGCGGAAGGCAGGATACACCCTCTACAGGTCGCCAGTCAGTACAAGTATAGTAATACCATATTTCTTCTACCCTTCTGTATAAAATGTTGTATTATTATGTATTACTGCATTACTTCAAACTGCATTTTCGAAAATTGCTTTATTATTGCACCACACTTGTACTAGCCAATCCCCATGACCCTCTCACTGCTGTTGTACATGTTTTATTGCAGCAGACAGCAAAAAACTAAGTGAAACTAAAGTTTGTGCATGCTGCGACTTTTGCTATGCATGCATGCACAATGTGAAAGACTCCATTGATTATCATAGTAGTGTTTGAATGCATCACTCTGTACCAGCTTCATTATAAGAATACTCTGTATGTTGAGGGAAGCAGATAGCAGATAGCAGATTTCCTAAACACATAGATGTTTGGTGATGTGCTATAGTTGTGGCACTTGTGTTCATTCTCTCCTGAACAATATGTGACACTTTAGCTTTTTTCTTGTGGTGTTTAAATACTACGGAAGCCCTGAAGGGTAAAATGAAAAAAAAAGTGCCTTCCTGACTTCCACTTGTCCTTCACAAAAAAAAAAAGCCTAACACTGCGTTCACACTGGCCGCGACGCAATGCAACAAAGCAGCCAGATGTCGTTAATTTTCAGGGAGAGCTGGCGATTTACAGCGACAGAGGGCAGCGTGAACGTTGGTGACGCGAAGTGGGCAGAGTGGGCGATGGAACAAAGTTGAACAAAGTAGAAAAGCGACATGGCAATTACCGATAGGAATTGAGCATTGAACACTGTGGTACGCACTCCACCAATGTGAAACTACGCTCCTTTTTTGGTTCCTCGATAATTGTTCCTACTAGAGACTGAATAATGGTGGTGGTGCTTTCACTGCAAATAGACAGTAATCGCAAAGACCAAATACTGTTTTCCTCATATATTGACTGCACAGACACTATGTAAAAATAAATAAATAAAAATAATTACACAAGCGATTTATCACCAGGATGTTTATTTTTAGCAGGAATGCATTTGATTTGTGCTTGGAGTCAGTGAAATCACTGCGACCAGTGGTCTACTTGAGTTCAGAAATGCCCACAGGTGATGAGCGATCAGCGACTGGGGCGACAAGTGGTGAAAAGTCACTGCCGGTGTGAATGCAGGGTAACAGTTAGTATGTTACACCAGATATTGCCAGTATGGAGCAGCTGTTTTATTTTTCCTTAACCTTCGGGGATCAGGTGAAAAAATAAGTTCTGGGGAGCTAAATTGCTAACAGTTAACATGCTAATGCATGTATGTTTTTTTCACCTGGTCCCCAAAGGCAAGTGAAAAAAAACTGCCATCCCCTGCTGGTCAAAGCTGGTGTAAACTCCCAGGTGTTTTTCATATAGTAGTGGCAAAAAATAAGAGGAATATGAAAATTGCACAAATGATGCTAGAAATAGTTTTGGCTGTTTTTGATATGTTATACAGGAGGAATGAATAAATATAATATAATAATATAAATAAATAATGTAAAACTTTATTAATTAATAAAGTGTCTCAGGAATACACTTTCCTTTTACTTTACTTTGGGGCTTCCATAGAATATGCTACAGAGTGAACATATGCCACTCTGTTCCATCTAATCAAAATGAATTGTAGAAGGGTGCCATTAGCTAATACGACTAAAAGCAATTGCTAACACCTGCTTTATTCCCAAACAGTCAGGTTTTTTCTTGCACTGTTGTTACCAGCTGGCTATGACAGATCACTGTATCATAAATGCCAGAGATTTCTGTGACTTTTATTATAGTGGGAATTGATTAATGAGTTTGTTTACATTTATCTCCGTACTAGCTAGGTAGGTTTGCTACAACTAAATTAACAAATTTATTTCTGCACATCAGCTTAGTATGAATAGCTGATGTTAGCTGGCTCTTCATGTCATCAATATATGATTCTCCCACACCTCAAACAACTGTGACAGAAAACTGAAACCAAAATGTGAAGCACACCACAGAGCTCAAACCCAGAGCTTCGTTCTGATACATTAATGACAACAGAGAAAGATGGATTCATGTTGATTGATGCAAGTTCTAATGACACTAAAAGGAGAATGCTGTATATGTGGTTTAGGAGTATCACATCATTGACATGATAAGCCAGCTAACGCTCACTCTTCATACTATGTTCACATTACTGAGAAACTAAACTGCTAATAGTTTAGCACCTGCAGCCACCTAGCCTAATATTAGCTACCAGATAGTTAAAAATCGTCTGCTTTCTGTTAAAAATGTGAAATATTACAAAAATCACTGACATACTGTATGTGCAACAGACAACGACTTTATGTTAATTAGACAACTATAAACAGCTAAATATACAGGGTCCTCCAATTAGATTTGTTTAAATCAGTACTTTGAGTAGCAGGAACCCACTTCTTCTTTTCACATTTGTTGCTTGGGAGTACACAAAAACTTAGATATGGCTCTTTTAACGTTGTAACATGCAACAATAACAGACTAATTTTGCTGCTGTTGTTTGGAGTAGAAGTGATTTAACTCTACTAAAGTGATTTAATGCTTAACCAAACTGAAGTGTGACTCTCTGTGAGAAACGTCTATAGATGGAGAAAAAGTGAGTCAACGGTGTGATTAAAAAAGGATTAAGGGAGTTTGGAGAAGATATTAAGACACATGAAGAACAAAAAATAAATAAATAAATAATTGAACAAGCAAACAAAATCAGGCTCAGTAGAAGAATAAGTAGATCTGATGTATTTATTTGCAGGTTAGTATAATTAGTTTAGATTATTTAACCTGATTTCATGTCAAGCTGTATGCAATGTAGCATTAAGTAGTGACCATGAACATGTTGGGTGATTGGGTTACTTTAAGGCTTAGTAAATAGTGTTTTACATATACAAAGCTTTAATAGTCAGGGCCTTAGAGTCAAAAATATGTGGAATTCCACCAGTTTTTAAAAAGATTTATATGTAAACAAAGTCATTCATGGTGGTTTGGTGTGAACTGCTCCATTCTAGAGAATTGTTCACAGCAGAAATGATAGGAACCAGACGTCGAGAGCATTTAATGTCTGTCAGAGCAAAAGTATTGAGAAGGTTTTGGCCTAAAAATTATTTTTAAAAATACATTTTTAATGTAGAGATAGGCTGCTGGGATAGGCTGCAGCTCCCCCCGCAACTCAGAAGGATAAGTGGCTTAGAAAATGTGTGTATTTGTGTGTGTGTGTGTGTGTGTGTGTGTGTGTGTGTGTGTGTGGAGAGAGATATATGGGACGTTGTAAGGTAAAATTGTCCCAAAAGAAAACAGATTTACAACTATTTTACCATCATCAACATCACATATAAACATTCTGAAGACTTGTAGATGCACTGGTCCTTTTACATTGTAAATAAACTGGCTATATTTGTGTTGCTGACATTGTGAACCCCTGGTTCCTGTCACCACTTCTGTAAAGATATCAGTAAATTTCACTACAGTGAACTGTTTCACATCAAACCACTCTGACTGAATTATGCAGAAATTTTGAAAAAGCAGAAAAACAGAGAGGTCATGTTGATGAAGGTGTGTGGAATGCCATTAAAAACTGTATGTGTACAGCTGGAGCTCAACATGCTTGGAGGAGAACACTAACTCCTAATTCTGTGACGTCAGCTAACAGGTGCCCAAATTGTCTCGCATCACACTGAGTGATGGAAGGAGAGGGAGGACCGTCCTGCCTACCAAGAGAGCGAGAGTGAGGACTATTATGCTCTCTTGGACTCCCAGCCAAGAATCGATGTGGGATTTAATACTTTTTTTTTGGTACAACTTAAAT